ACAGGGAGAGATAAACACAGCGGAAGACTTGTCCATGCGATATGACAGGGTACACTGAAAGTGCAATTCACTCCATTCAATCCTCACAACCAGTCATAGAGAAAAGCCGAGCAGATCACATCCAGGAAACAATGAAACGATGATAGTCCAAACACAGTTACACACTGTTTATTAAACTCAGAGTCTCGAAATGTCAGAATCACTTCAGAACTACAGTGTGCTGCTCAGAATTGAGCAGCGCTTCACTCTCCAACCCTGATAGACACCCGTAACACCCCCTGAGCTCTGAAACATCAAGCGCCACCCTAATACAGCCTCCTGGGGGCAGCGCCACCCTGAAACAGGCCTCTGAGGCCAAGCGTCACTCAGGGAATGAAGAAGAAGACCAGCGCCACAGTATCTGATGATGACGAAGTGTCGGAAGGCTTCCCGGGTGGAAGCCTGCAGCAGCGCCACCAAACCCTGACAAGATGACCTCTGAGATGAAGAAGCTGCAGCTATGGCTGCAGCGCCAACCCTCTGGGACCCCACTCCGGCGGAGGGTCCAGCAGGGCACCAATCTCTCTCGCCTCCAGCAGACCTCGATAACCCAGACCTCTGTCAGCCCCTACGTGCTGGCAGAGTACAGCGCAGGTCCCAGCTATGGCCTGCGCTCCGAAGGTCTGGCTATGCCCGTCTTCTTCCACGTTGAGCCGTCACCACTACCGGTTCACACGCAGCGCAGCAGCGATGTAYGCGGTACCAACTGCCAAAAGCCCTGAACCGATGTGCCCATCCTACTTCTAGCCTACACCGACCTAGACCGGACTGACTGACCGACCGGTACCGTATCTGTTTCGGCCTCTCGGCCTCTACCGGACCCGGCTATAGGCTATGGGACCGTCTATTCAGAATAGGCCCATAGAGCCTGTCTGTCTAGGGGTAGCCCGGGCCTGCTATCCGCAGTTAGGGTAGCTGTAGGGAATCGAGTTAGTACTGGGCCTGTATTTTTCCCGGATTTGCAGATATGTCCCTCACGACTTTCCCTCACAGGTAGGTCTCTCAGTTAGCCCTCAGCCAAACAAAATTACGATCTGTCCTACCTATAGTACAGCCTCGACAGAGAGAGGCTACAGGCACTCAGAAACAGCAAGTCATTGCAGACCTACCCTCCCCCGGAGCGAGGACCTCCGAGCTAGGGGCGTAGGCGTGCAAGAGCGCCGAAGGGATACTCCCTTCTGTGCTGCCTCATATTTGAGGATGGCAGACTTGGCTGTCTTCAGGAGATCCTTGCGAAGAAACCAGCGATCTTCAGTGTGCGGCTGGTACAGGAACTTCACAAGGTATTCCTTATCTGGGCCTGTCCCTGACTCATCCTCCACAGATTCGACCTCATACCCTTGGCCAGGGATAGGGGGACCGAATTGTGGGGGCCTGTCTGGAAATGCATCAGCTGGCGTAAACGGCAGCAGCTTAGATGCATGAAAGACAGGGTAGGTTTGTAGATGCAGAGGGACGTCCACATTGTAGGACGGTCCAAATGGATCAGCTCCCACTGTATCTACGACCTGCCATGGACCCATATATCCTGGCAGCAGCTTGGGCGAGATGTCCTCCTCTCGTGACAACTCAGAACTGAGTACCCACACCCAGTCACCTGTGCGAATAGTAGAAGGACGTATGTGCTTATTAGCCTGTTGAATCATTGCCTTTTGGGCTTTCAGCAGGTTAGCACGGGTGCGCTCAACATCGTGAATAAAGCACCAACCGGGACTCCACACACACTCTCTTCGAGTTGTGTATAGTGAACATGACAAAACATGCACATACAGCATAATCAGTACCTTCCCTTCCCGAAACATATCAACAAACGAACTACGGGCTGCACATCCGTGCCCTCACGGTAAGTCAATATATAAGAAGCATTAAGAACATGTTGCATACCCGCCGACGGCCTACCCCGACCGTCGACCGTTTTGCAGCCTACCGGTGGGGCCAACCGGTCAGCGGTCTGCTGACCGGTCAGTAAACAGCCATCCACTTTTTTTTTTTTAATCTGACCATGGGGCTGTACTGCGCTTGCTGAGTACAGCCCAAATCCGAAGAGAAACTACTGGGGATGGGCCGGGGGGAGTATGGGGGGTTATACGGAAGGTATTGGGGGGGTGGGTAGGGGGGGTATAGGGGGGGTATGGGTGGGGTATGGGAGGGTATAGGGGGTATTGTGGTGGGGGTGGTATTGGGGGCTGTATGAGGGTGTTCGGGGGCGGTTTAGGGGTGTTGGAGGGGTGTATGGGGGTGCATGGGGGTGTATGGGGGTGTAATTTGAGAAATCTGAATTTGATCTAAATAACCTTTGACAGCCGCATAAATAACAACAACTTGCTTTTCAATCGAGATTGGACTATATTGTGGTTGTTTCAACACTTCTGTTAGTCTCGCGCCACGGTTTAATAAATATTGAGTGGCAGCATTTCGTGAGGTTATTGGGGGTTATGAACTCCAAAAAAAAAAAAAAAAAAATTGCATGGTGCCGACGACTGCTGAGCGGTAGGTGCCGACCAGCCGACCGGTTGGCTGGACGGCAGCCAACCAATCAAGGGGTGCCAACCATCGGCCTGTGCAACTCTGCTTTTTAGTGAAAAAAAAAAAAACACTGATTGCGCTTAAGTTTTTAGCTTGTGCTGTCTCAGGTTCCCTTGACCATAACGAAGGGAAGTGTCGTGTGCCTATCTGATGTATGGGATACTGGACCTGCTCTACAGTCTCATTAATAAAGCAGCTACCCTTAGGGGCGGGTGGGGTGGGGGGGGCAGAAGCTGTCAACAAAGCTTGTTATTGATTCTCAATTTCTCAGACATCTCATTGCTTGCTGCTTGTCAAATATTTATTTCCACAACGCTCACTTTCAGAAACCTCTCAGACTGCACTCACACACAGGAAATGCCCATGCATGCAAAAAGAGCAGAAAAAAAGCAGGCGTGAGGGGAGACGGGGCCAAGCTACCGAATACATACCCTGATGGTGCAAGCGATGGACAGTGCGTACATAAAGGATCCAATTGAAATGCAAAAGCGTCGATCGTCCCATTCCTCAGTTTTCTTGTCTCTGCGTTGTGTTCATGGCCTGGTTCTCCTTGTTCCTCCTGAGTAATCCCGACATTCTGAGTGTGCGCACTGCCGCTGCAGTTGTTTCTGCTTCTGCTTTCTCCACTGCTGTCTGTAGTTTGGTGAACAGCCACTGAGGTTTCCGAGCTTTCAACTGCCCGTGAGGCCACGGCCTGTGTCCTGTCATCAGCCTGAAGTTCCTGACCTGACATGTGAGATGACAGCACTGGGAGCGCAGACTGCTGAAGTCTGTCAAAAGAAGTGCAGGCTGACGAAGATCCGCTGTTCTGCTTCTGTGACTTATCCTCTAACACCACAGCACTGCCAGACAACGGAAGAGATGCGTTTGATGTCTCCTCTAGTTTGACTTCTACTCTAACACCACTTTCTTCAGTTGCTTTCATATCCAAAGAAATGGAAGACGTACAAGTATTGCCTTGCCTCGCATTCGCCGAACTCTCCTCTGCGATCACATTACCATCGTATGATTCCACTTCTGCCCCTCCTTGTCTTTCCATACTTCTCAGATCTGCCCCTGCGGACATTCCTCGGACTTCGTGTAGGTTTGCTGATTTCTGTCTCTCCGTTTCTTCAAGTTTCTCTGCTTGAACCCGAGGAACGTCATCTTTCTCACCAACCCCTTGGCTCTTTGATGGCACGTCCACACATATTCCTGGAACCGAACGTGAACCCTCCATGACCCCATCATCCTTGTTGGTGGATAAAGCAGCGGGAGCCATGTACGTTTGCGATTCTGATGTTTCTATTATCGGCTTTGGTGAACCGCTCACACCTTCGTAGGGAGCATGCCTTGCTGGCATTTCCGTCCTCGACACAACTGCACTTTCCCCCCCTGCAAATGCCTTCTTCGCTGCCATGTCCGCATTGGTGCGAGCATGCGATCGTTTGCGAAGAGGATTGTCAATATCGCTGCGAAGATAGAGTGCGTCGTTTGCAATCGGGTGACCTAAGTATTGCAAATGGACCCGGATCTAGCAAAAGCAAGGGCGGTGGTACACAAGGGGCAATGGAACAGAGCCAGCATAAAGAAGAGATATTTCCAAATATGTTAATATAGGTAGGCATGAGATCGAGTAATCCGAATCCTTAAAAAGAAACCGTCAGAGAACAGATTTTGATTCGCTATTAGATCTGTATGACCTTGTACGATTATCCAGCAGCAAGGCATAAGCTATAGCCAGTAGATCTTTTTTTTTGAGGAGAAGAGGGAGAAGGAGGGAGTCGAGGAGTAGGGTTGGGAGCAAGCTATAGCAAGTAGATCTTTTTTTTTGGTTGAAGAAAAAACAGTCTGTAGATCTGTATGATTTTGTTTGGTTATCCAGCAGCAATGCACAAGGAGGAGGAGAGGAAAGGTTAGGAGAAGCTAGGGAAGGCGTAAGAGGAGCAGGAGGAGGAGAGAGAAAAGGGAGGAAAAAGATTCGGAGGGGGGTGAGGGGGAGGGGGAGGAGCAAGACATAGCTACTAGATCTATAGGGCTTCGTTTCATTATCCCCAGAAGCAAGGCACGAGGAGGAGAAGCAAGGGTGGGAGGAGTTGTGGAACCCGGAAGAGGAGCAGGAGAAGAAAGAAAGAGGAAGAAAATGAGCAGGAGAGGAACAAGGAGTACCGGGAGGAGCAAGAGGAAGTAGTCATTGATATTGTTACCTTGCTGCATTCTGTTTTTTTGTATTTGTCAAAATTGTCATCATGTTCCTACGTTGACCTTGTTGGAGAAGGGGGAGGTAGAAGAATTAAGGCTGGGGATGGTAGAAGAATTAAGGCTGGGGATGGTAGAAGAATTAAGGCTGGGGATGGTAGAAGAATTAAGGCTGGGGGGGGGGGGGGGAAGGAGGGGCAGGGTGCGCAGGAGAAGGAGGAGGTATGAAGAAGGGAGACTCGAACAAGGTGGGGAAAAGGGAGAGGAAGAGGAAGAGAAAGAGGAACAGGGAAGCCATTCAGCAATGTTGGTACTTGTTGCCATTGTAAGGTTGCAATTGTTGTCCTACGTTGCCGGCCGTTGGTTCAGTTTGACATCTGGACTGCAAATCCTGAAGCAGGGTGCACCGGGGTCATTGCGACTACATTGCATGCAATTCAAGACCTCAGGTTTTGAATCAGACAGGGTCTTTACCCTTCCTCTCCAACCCCTTTTCACATGAAATGAGTCCTTCTGACAAGACCTGTTTTCCAGTGAATCTCCCAATACTGTGCAGACGTTCCATATCACCGCTATAATGGGAGTTATTAGTTACACATGTAAAAAAAACAGATGTAACGCCTGTCAGTTCTCACCCTTACCTTCAGGAGCACATACTAATGCCCCTTCCTCGCTTTGTTCTTTGCGAGATCAGCTTCCTCACATTGTCCCTTGCGAGATCGGCAGGTACCTTCAGGAGCACATACTACTGCCCCTTCCTCGCTTTGTTCTTTGTGAGATCGGCAGCTAGTGTCTTCCCCCAAATAGAACATACAGTCATTATAACTGCATTGGGGAAATTTTCAGTCTAGATATACAGCAATAATGACTGTATGTTCTACGTATGGGAAGACGGTAGCAAGTTGTTCATGTCCAATGCCGCCATGGTATGTACCCACGGATCTGATCCCCATGAAAGCCTCCCCGTATAACAATGAAATTGAGCAGAAAACAACCTGATGGGGAGTGAAAGGAAGTTGATAGTGATATATGTAGGATGGTAGGCAATAGGATGTCTGTGTCATTCCCAGGTTTTGAGAATAATCCACTTTAGGTTTCCACAGTCCAAAGACTCCCAAACACATCCTCTAGCTCGTAGATCCAAGTCGCATCACCTGGCCTGATCATTCGGATGGAATTTCTCAATGTGTATTGTCGACCGGCAGTTGGAGTTAGAAAGTATAGCCTACTAGACCAAGTTATTACCGTTCACTCCCAGGGTTGATTCCAGTCTTTTGTTCAGTTTGAGAGATATCCAAGGGTGGCAGTAGGTTCAATTCTTTTTTATTCCTTCACCAACACCAGGTGGTTCTATCAGGGTGGGAAGGGCTTGTGGGGGTAAGGGTAACTACCGGTTCTCTCAAAGTCAAGTCACTCTGGGACCCAGGCCAGTCGAAGTTCAGCCGTGAAGAATTACCGTTCCCTTCCAATGTAAGTGGGTTACCCCTCCTCTTTTCGGGTCTGTCAAGGTGGGACCGCCTTGCCGGACCCCAGGCTTTCTTCATTACTTCTGCTGTAGTATTTCATGCGATCTGCGTCACCAAGCTCAGTACAGGTGACGAGATCACCCCCTTGGACATAGATGAGTACATCTCTCTCTCTCTCTCTCTCTCTCTCTCTCTCTCTCTCTCTCTCTCTCTCTCTCTCTCTCTCTCTCTCTCTCTC